CAGGATGCTTCATTCATGAGTGAAGTCATAGAAACTCATTTCATAAGAATAGTTTATCTAAATTGTCCTGTATTTTACCTCCACAAAACAGTAATAATTGCTTAGCGGGAACTACCAGTCAGTTTGACAAAGAAGGCTCGCTCTTGCTCAAGAGTTGTCACAGCATAGACTTCATAACCCTGGGATTTCCACTGTGAGCTTCTTTTACATGTAATATGAAAAGGTTCTTTAAAATTCTCACAGATATAAATGGGCAGTGAAAATGAAGTATTTATTAATTTTTTTTATTATTCTTATTTTTAATGAAAAAGGAAGTGTCATGTTTCAGAATTTTAAAGATTGTTGTCTATAGAAGCCGTTGTTTTTGTGAATTAATGTAGTATACTTTTTATTTAAGGAGTAACATTGCATGGCTGTTGGCTGAAGATTGTGACCTTGAAAGATTGTAATGTTGAAACATAATGATGAACTATTGAAACATAGTAGTTAATTATATCTATATATTTGGATGAGTGAAATAAGCTAGGTAGTATTTGTAACTTCGCTGGACGCCATAAGAACGACTTCACAAATACAATAAATTTGTAGAGAGATGAAAGCATCTTTAGGGACACCTTCCAGTCAGACAGTGCATGCTGTGAACACTAGTTCTATGCTTCTGGGATTTTTTTTTTTGTCTTTACCAGGAACATGTATGTTTGAGGGGAAAATCGGCAATACCGTAACAATATAATTAATCTTCAGTTTTTAACGTAGCAGTATTCCAGAGACTTAATGTCTCTACTATATGCTAATTATAGAAAAAGGCAGTATCATAACCATTGGAAATACATCATCTTCATTTTTTTAATCTGTAACCTTTTTGTTTTTTTCTGCTTCTTAGCAGAAAATGGAAAACTGCTGAAAAAATTTCATCCTGAAATGAAATAATTTTCTCTAGAAATCATAATCATAGTTCTGTCTGATTTAGTGTTGGTTGGCATATATACTTTCATTGTGTATCTGTATCTTAGCTGCACTGCAGACAAACTGATCTGTTCTAGGCAGAGTGTGGTGTAGAGGAGATGTAGGAATGGGCTGAAGTATCCTTTATATTTGCCTTTGTATCTAGGAGAGTTGAAAATAGGCAAGAATGGAGAGAAATTTTGTGTGGCAGTGCACAGAATTTTGCAAGTTTAATGTGAGCCCAGCAGCAATCCGATGCATTTTAGTTACTGGTAAGTTTGTTAAATTCTGTTTGAAAATTTTTCATCTTAGAAGACAGTCTTCTAATCAGTATTATTTCCAGTATGTCAACAGCAACCTTTTAAAAGCGTAATTTTGGCAACCTGGTTCTGCTGATAATTTTTACATTTAAAATCTTCAGGTTTAATTCATTTTCAGCTGCCAAGACAACTACATAAATTGACCATCTTTAGAAATATGTTAAAAGTTCTGGGTACAATCTTCTAAATGAGGCAGTCAGTTCTTTAGAAGACTAAATGCAATACTGAGAAGAAAAGATCCATTGTGTCAATATGGATTTTTTTATATATATATATACATATACACACACACGTTTAAG